ATCAGTTTCAAAGTTTGTTGACTGCAGGAGCTGGTGTTGCCAAGGAACTAGATGACGTAAATGACGTAAGAGGCCCGGCCATGTACTGGTAGCAGGAGTAGGGGGTTTACCAACAGATGGAACAKGGCGGACGCTGGTAGGATCATATTGGAAACCATCGGTCTTGGTCTTCCGTGTGAGGACAGGGATCGGGTTGCCAGGAGGGAGTTTAGCAGAGACGCTCTATTGCTTGTTAGTACTATCAAAGATACTTGCAGTAACCTCACTTTGGTCTTGAGCCAAAGCTCTCAACCTCAGTGATGTTACTGGTGTAGTACCAAATAGCTTGAGACTGTGCAGTACAAAACTCTTCCATGACAATGACATGGACCTCAACAGAGTACATTTTCTGGTTATATTTTTGGTACACACACGGACTGTGCAACGGCACCACAGCAGTAATATAACATATCACTACCACAAGTCATGTTTCTTTACATTACCTGTACCTTTTGAAGGGTTGCATGGGTACAACAAGTACTAGTAACCATTGAGCAGCACCAAAATTACATGTAAACACACACCCTTGGTTACCGAGCATTACAAAAAACTAAACATTATTTTTTTGCTGAAAGTACATGCACCTCAAGCTGTTTACAAAGTGCACAGACTGAATTTTGTAACCAAGACTTGAAATCAAACCCTTCCCTATACAGAGGCCCATATTTTCTCCATGATACTACTAGTTATCTGGTTACAAAAAAAAGTGGGTCTGGTTACAAAAAAGGACACAGTGTGCTTGTAGTAACCACGCCCACACACTTCAACAGGTACATGATGCTGTTTGCTGTATTTTGCTTTACAGTACAGTGTAGAAAACAGAGTGCTGCAAAACAGAAAATTAATTGGGAACTAGAACTAAGTACAAACTCACCAAGAAAATACAGTAGAATTGCAAAATTGTTGTCATTTGCTTGCAGCAGCAGCTTGCTGACAGAGCTTATCAGCACTCATATCAGCATTCTCCTCCATTGTTTCAGCAACTTGTATTGTATCGGCAACTTGTATCAGCATCTTTGGTATCCATGGGCGTCCTCTGGCTTGTGCAGACTGTAGGATGTCATAGATATAACATACTGCTGATACAAGTATCATAGTATTGCACTGTACTTGGTACTCAGTTTCATGTGCTCATACTGTAAGCTATGTTTACTGCGCCGTCAAGGTAGGTTTGATTGCTAATTGGCTTTCAAAATCAAAGTTAGTGTCAGTAAGGTGGAAGTTATGCTCTGAAAAGAATATGATAGTTGAAGCTATTCAATGAAAGCACTGTGACTATTTTTTGTTTTTGAAATAGGAATTGAGATTATTGATTTATTGTGTATACTGGGTATTGTTTTTGTTGGTGTTGTTTTTTGTAAGCAGAAGAGATGGTCTTACACACAGACCATTGAAAGCACAGCATAAATCCAATTGATTGTGTGACAAGACCAAGTTGAAACTTACACATTTTACAAAGATCTTCCCTGTAATTTGTGAACAGTTCTTGCATGAGCAATATTAATTGGGAATTGAATTAAACGCATTCCCTTTGTGACTTGTTTTAGCTTTATTGGTAATTCTTGATTCATATTCATGCTGACATCAAAATTTTGCTGTTGCTGTTGTTGMAGTGTTTTGAGGGGTTAAAGTGATCCATTCATTCAACTTTCTCAGCATCTACAAATCAAACATAAAATCCATCAATATTGATAATTTCACAATCTTCTTGGTACCCATTTTTCAGTTTGATAGATTTGAATATATACATGGCTCCATTTCTTTTTGACTTTTCAACATCTATGTTGTCATGGATCATGACAGGTCTACCAATATACAATCTAAGCATTGGATCTATCCTTTTGGAAGATTTGTTTGTACCTGCAACAATGTCAGCATCTGATGTGCCAGTTACCAAGCAGTATTTCTGAAATTCTGGCATGTCTCTGTATTTTCTCCTTGTTGTTTTGCCAATCTTCAGTTTTACATTTGATGCCTTAATTACAAGAATAGTATGATCTGGCAATCTGTCATTCATTTTTAGTGTGTCCTTTGAGAAACTCAGAAAATATGCCATCATTTATTACACACTTGTCTGCATTGCTGTATGTTCCATAAGCAATATCTTCTAGGAGTTTGTCCAAAGGTTTTACAATTCTTCAATTGATGCTGTGAACATACTCCTTTTTCAAGCTATTTGCTCTCAAATCATCAAGAAGCTCTCCTCAGATTGGATCATCTTTGAACCTGCATTTTTTAAGTTCAAGAAATGTGTTGGTTTTTGTATCCAATAGGGAATCTCCTCCCACTGGTTTGAGTTGATTGAAGTCACCTGCAGAGACAATTGGTAGATTACCATACAAATGATATGATGGCTTCTCACACAACAAGTTCAGATACTCATTCATTTTTTCAATCTATTTGATGCTAGCAAATGATATCTTGTCAACAATGAGTAGGCAAGTCTCATTTTCCCATGCATAATCCTGTCTAACATCATTGGATCTGCCACAATTAAGACAGCAAGCTTTATGTGATGTTGTTTCCCCATTGATATTATCTGCTGCTGTTCCAGTCATGCCTGTGACAGCAAGAGTTCTGTTGTCCAGTCATGCCTGTGACAGCAGGAGTTTTGTTGGAAAAGTTCACTCCCAATTCTTTGCAAAGCATCTACAATAATGTCAAACATTATGAATTACTTTTGACTTCCCAGTACCATCAGCAGCCCCTGATAGAAAAAAATGAACTGCTCTTTGTTGTTCAGGGTTGCCTTGAGATTTTCTATGCATTTGTTGCAGCAATTACCAATCAATCTTTCTGTGGGATCTCTTTTTCTGGATTGTTCAGGTAAATGTAAAGATTTTTTATGAAGTTTCAAAACAAAAGCAGCAACAATCTGGCTACTGTTTGGAAACTTTAAAAAATTAAAACATTGTTTTGTGAATTGAGGAGTTGAAAAACAGAACTTGCAAGTTCATTGTATTAACCATGCAGTCTTTGTGTGTCCTCTCATGTTCATACACAAATAAAATTATTGCGTTTTTGTTGCCCTTTCAGTCATACCAATCAGAACTTTTATTTCCAAATAGTAGTCCATTTGATTCATTGCAAACTTTGTTTTGAATTTTCATTCTGCACTCCTCTTTCCTTTGGTTTTTGAAACATGTTTTCACATGGTTTTGTTTATGCAAATTACGCAAAGCTGTAACATGGAAAGATGATCTCTTGTACTTTTCTGATTTTAATTGATCCCCCCCCCCTTGCATTTCTGATACTAGTGGTAGTCCAGTGCACCGGAGCCAATTGCTACCACGTACAAAGTACAGTATTGTACTTCCAGTAAATTATGAAGTACAAAGTAACTTTTTCCCGTCTTAAGTTGCCAAATGTTCCATAGAGGTAAGTACTATTTGTACGTACCAGGTACTCCCAGTACCGGAGATCCCCAGCAGTATGGCAACTTATACATCATTGCAGTCAGTCTATTGCTATGATTAACCTTCCAATAGAAACTGGATGCCGTTGTCTTACTAAAACTGTATTCTCCTGGCAACCAAAATGAATCTATGGCTACTTCTGCTGTTTTAGCAGGGGATATGGTTGGAGAGCAATAATTCTTTCTCTGGTGCGACGTATTTTCTAAACAACGCTACAACATGACACAATCCGAATCTTTCATGTAGGTGAACTTCAGGTGGTTTGAATGGTTCGAGTTGCAAAATCATTATTAAATCATCTCATTAACCTCCGAGGATTTGTCATGGATGTTTTTAAGTAGTGTACATATGTATGAAATGTTTGAAGAAAACACATGAATGCTTTGGTGAAACTGAAAATACAAACCAAACTCTCTCCACACAGTAACTGTTCTTGGTTTTGATTCGGTCCTTTTCATTGCTTGTTAACGCTAAACAACGTTTGCTCGAATTCTACCATTTGGCTCGTCAGTGTATTCGCTGCCACTAGCAACATCCTCGTCCAAATCCAGCTCGTTTTCCTGCACTTGCTCTGTCAATTCAGCTGACCTTCTTTGTTTCCTGCCTCTCCTCATGTAGAAAAATGCCAAACCTCCTGACCCACCGAGCACAATCATCAACAGAGCCACAATACCAAAAGTACTGAGAACGTTGCCACTATTGCCTGCATAATATGCGTTCGAAACCATATCATCGAGATAGGCCCCAGCGACATGAACAGTTCTTTCGCCATCTTCCCAAAGAATTTCATAAAAACCACTCTCGCTATGTTCAATTGTTCCCCAATACCAGTACCCGTTGAACTCTGCGTAAACTTGCGTTCCTTCGGGGTACAAATTGAAATCATACTGAATGTACTGGGCGTTGTTTACCATTTCATCCATATCTGGGCCGGGCAAAAACCTATCAGAACTTTCGTCTGACCAAAGAACAATATAGTAATCATCGTCGTACGAATCAATATAGCCAGCCCACCAGCCATCCTCGAATTTGGCGTAAACAAGCGTTCCAAGTTCGTAATAACCACTGATTGCATAGTAATCATCACCGCTCGAATAAGATTCACTAGGTCCTTCAAGGAATCCTTCTCCTGCCCCAAAGGCCACCATTTGGTCGATCTTTTCGAAATTGCTATAATATTTATTGGTTCCGTCACTCCAGGTCACCTCGTACACACCATCTTCAAAACCTGTTATCGTTCCATCCCACCACCCGTCGTCGAAATCCCAAGATACCGGTGTATTAATGGGCCATGGATTGTACCCATTAAATTGATCTGGATCGAAATATGCTGCAGCGTTGTTTACAAACTCGTCGACCTCGTCAAAATCACTGTAGACTACAGCTTCACCGTTCGACCATGTGATAGTGTAAGCACCGTCGGCAAACAACGTGATTTCACCATCCAGGTAAAATTTTTCGGAGTCTGGGTCGTTTTCGTCGGGATTTGGATATCCGTAAGTTTGCCTAATGTACCATTATACCCAGATGTTGGAGGGGGACGAATGAGTGGTACGGAGTTTAGTTAGCAAGAAAAGAAATTTAAAATCCAAACGATACTAAAAGAAATCAACTTACGTTCCGATCGACCAAGGTTCGTAATGCTGGGCATTTGCAACCATGAGGTCCATCCATTCCAACTCATTGACAAATCTGTCGCCAGTGCCATCGCTCCAGGTTACGACGTACGTGGCATTAGTCTTGTCTTCCGACAGGGAGAAGCTTGTGATCTTTCCTTCGTACCAACCATCCGAGAATTCTAACAACGTGACGGTACCGATTGGCCAAGGTTCGTAATCGGCAAGATTGTCGTATTGGTAAGTGTATCCGAAATCAAAGTCCTCCGGGACAGATCCCCTGTATGGAGATCCATTGGAGCTGGGCGCTTGACCTAATTTTTCGTTATCGTCCCAATCAAACTGTTCGTCGACCTCGTCATCGTTCGTTTCCGTCACTTGCTCTTCCGTGTTCGTTATCTGCACTTGCTCTTCAGCGTTCGCGACAAGTTGATCAACTTTGTTCAAGTCAGAGAAATCCTCTAGCACGTTGTCTTCATCCCATTTGACCGTGTACACTTTGGTGTCACTATTATAAGTGTCAATTCTTCCGTTCATCCTAAAAACGAAACCGGACAGAAAGAGGATGAGAAGATCACCAGAACCKGGAAAAGAAGAACGAAAAGAAAGCGAACTCTGGCATTCCCGTTCAACAAATTTCAATCCAATCCAACGACGATATCGAACGGTGATCGAGAAACGATTGGAGAGAATTGACTGTATTTAATGTGGCAACCTACCAAGTTCCATCTTGATCTTGGTAGCGAACAGCAGTACCATCCGGGTATGGGTCATAACCACTATCATTGATGATACTGTTGGTGACGCTTTCGTCGTTTTGTGGGTGCTCAGATAGGAATGCTTCCACCGCTGATTGTCCGTCGTTTTCCAAAAGTCGTTCACTTGCTTTATACTTTATTGCGGATGAGGAAAATTCGATTCGAGAAACCGTAGTCTTCGCCTCGACCACGCTTCTTGTGGCCACAACCGCCGAGAGGAGCAAGGACAACAACAATATCCGTGTCTCCATTATGACTAGTACCGTGGCTTCTTTATGAGGGATTTTTATTCCGCTGCAATGTCTTTTTATGCCGTAGCTCTTGTGTCGGTTTGATGTTACCTTCCGCAGGATTGTGGTCGACGAGGATGCAATTAAAGTTCTGTCAATACTGTTCGAAGTCGAAATACAGTATGACACGTTAGTACGATACAGGAGCAAAATGGAACGTGAAGGGATCGCTTTGTGGAGATTTTTGTGCAAGGAGATTTGTGCGGTAGCTTACTTACTGGTACCGTATGTACTCGTACGAGAACAGTTTTCAAATTTTTCAAATCCTCTCTTGCGTCTGTCGTAAGCTTAAGTAGAGAGTTTCGTACCTCGGCAGCTGTGTTGCACTGCTATTATTTGTTCTTTTATCATCATGCGATCGTTGCTACGTACGGTACGTACGTCCTTCAGGAGTACGTACTGTACGAGACTTCGGATACCCCTTCTCTCGCTGCATGAGTAACCGTGTCAAACGGCACTAAACAATTATTTTTTGGGAAGCTGGCGCGAATTGAAAAAGAGAAAATACCTATGATATCACGTGTACGTAAAACAGATCAGGGGTCATAAATTTAACAGGGGGTGCGCAACGCTCAAAACTTCTTATTCCATCCTGTTTACAATAAAGAGTGAGTGGAGGTGGTGAGTTATTCACTACTCACTCGTGATTTACTTGATCTACGTGTGTTAGGCTCACACAAATAAGAAAAATTTCAATTGGCATCCTCCTCACGCTAGTCATGGTGTGTGGAATGCCTATCTGTCCTCTAATGATCATCACTTATGGACTTCACCCAGCCCAGGCCAATGGAGGTCCCATCCTGTTGTCTCAACTCAGATTAAACCACATCGATCAACAAGTCTCTGGCGTAAATACCCTCCTGGTAACCACGTCCCTGTTTTCACTTGCTGGACATCCAAAAACGACCGTTTTCAATACTGCAATCCAACCAGTGTCCTCCAAGTTCTGACAGTCATCCCCCACATATGGCCTGGCCTTCTATGCCTCCTAGATCCATGTCAACATCAGCTCCTGAAGTTTGTCCAGATTGAGACCAGCTTCTCACCACCAGTGTTGGATGTGTTCACTTCTGGGATACCTCTTCTCGTCATGGTTTCCAATGGATCTGACAAAGATGGTTGTATGTCCTTTGGACGGTTGCTGGCCACTACAGCTGGGTATAGAATTGCTCATGCAAATGGCCCATGCTTTGCCATTGAAAGTTATCTTACCGCTGAGGCTACTGGCTTGTTATCAGCTACTAGTCACTCTGGTGCTTGTTTCACATCTACACCACCAGAACCACAAGACCAGTACAGATGATCGTCACAAAAAGTGATCGCAACCTATCACGTGCCCTAGCGTCCCTTTATTTTGTATTCCGAACCCCCCCCCCCTTTTTTTTCCCACCCCATCCCCCTCCGATTCACGTGTTTATGGTTGCGTTTTTGTTCCACAGTTATTCTGCGAGGTTGGGAGCATGATGTTGTCGTTCAAGAAAGGTCGCGAGGGGTTGTTACGCTGTGACAGGCACCCATGTCTGTTTGACGAACAACCAGATTTTCCGTTGTTCAACCATTTGTCAGTAGTAACAACTCCCAATCACGTACTTGTTTTTTTTCTACGCCAGCACTTAGTACAATTTTTTTTTACTCCTGCATGGATTGAAACGGAAACCAAAAACTGAAAACCGAAACTGATACAAAAACCCTCAACGAACTATTCATCTGTGCAAAGCAGTCCTGGATTGTATCCCTTATGGGTACATCTTTAAGAACTTATAGACGTGTTCCTGCACGCTAACAGGTCCACGATGTTGGTTTCCCGTCTTCATCTGTTGTGGTGTTTGAATTTCAGATTTGTAATGGAAATTTTTGCCGCATTTCTCTTCTCCAGAACCATCTCATAAAACAGAAACATTGTCACTGTACTTCATTTCAAGTTACTCATTCGAAACAAACTCATCAGGATGTCCACCACCAGTTCTTATCACACCGAAATATCTGATATGCAAGTGGCCCTCACCGAGGACAACATTCCCCGATTGAAAGCGTTGGTAAACAATTTTGATGAGGTTATGAAGAAATCGACAGAATTTTTGAGTTCAATCGAATCTCTCTTCTCACGTTTTGTGTCAGATGTGAAGACTTATATTCCGTCATCCGAAAGCAATCACTCCTTAGTGGTTACATTCATGGAAAAGTTTACTATGCAGTCTTGCATGGAGGGTAATGTTCATTTAACGAATATGTTCAAGTCCAACGTGGTAGATTTATCTCTGTTTCTATTTCCCGACGACCCTGGTGACGAGAATGATCCCCTGAAGGTACTCCGTGGTGTTCCTTCATTTTTGAAATCCTTCCATGTTGTTGAGGATGCTCTTTCCCAATTTCACCAACGTTTTGTTAATCTGCAGACTTCCGTGCAGCCAATGTTGTCCGAATTGGAGGAAATTTTTAATGACCCCAATTATATAATTGATCGGACCTCCCACTTTGCCCAATTGTCATCAACAGTTCTAAACCTTCGTGAAAAATTGAATGCTGACTGGTTTCATGTCCCCCCTACCCCCACCGACCAATCTCTTCTCACTCAGTGGGAAACCCAAGCAAATAAGTATGATGAAGAGATTGGAAATAAAATCAAAACCTTATTTTCTGACTTCGAAGCCAAACATGGTCCCACCAAGCGCCGCAAAGTCAACTCCCCCCCTCATCGGTCATCAGATCCCCAAGATGTACTTCCATTTGCCAGATCATTAGTTTCATGTCAGACTACAAGGAGAGACGACTTAGAAACTACTGATCTGATTTACATGTTCCAAGATCCCGCTCATGCAAAGATACGTGGTACAGGGAAAAAGCAGATCAAATCCAAGAAATGTTCCCTTGATCCTGAAAGTGCTTTACATGTGGAACAAAACCTGAAGCAGTATTTTCCATTTTTCGACTTCTCACATATCCGCGTTCATGATGACCAGCCGAAACCTCAATTCAGTGATAGCCGTCAATCGGTCAAGTGGAATGTTTTGCTACATGAGTGCTTGTTCAATGCCAAAGCGGCACTGAAGTTTTTTTGGATATACCGGTCTAAAACGGAAGAAAATTTTCAGTATAAGGATGGAATGGAGATCGAAATTGTTGACAATATCATTGAGGAGTTGGCCAAGAAATACGCAAAAGAAAGAAAGACAGATACAGCTGTTTGTCCTCCCACCCAACTTTTGTCACATTTTTTTCATTTACTTGTGAAACATTTTAATGCGGTTTTCGAAATAACTGGCATTGAGATCCCTGATCTTCCAAGCATTCAAGGAGAAGCTGTGGCCAGAACTTTTGAAACTGGTCGTGATGACCCTACCTTCAGTATCTCAGTCCCTTGTAATCACGTCCTTGGTGCAGCTGACACAACTGGTCATAGTGTTTTTCTTTCTCGGCGACAATCCGGTATCACTCTTATACCTTTATGTGTCCACCGTTCAACTTCTGTTTACTGGTTCATCAATTTCACCGTTTTTCATCCTCGATCCGGCTTCATGTACTGCTTTCCTCCAGCAAGTACCGAAACATGTTATCCTTGGGCTCTAGTCCTCCCTGTTGAACATGAAAAGAAGGCATCTGAAGTGAATGGTGGCGCAGTTCCACAAGTCACAATGACAGACATTGAAACAAAATTGCAACACATCAACGCTAGGAATGGCAATTGTTTCGCCTATGCTGGATCATATACCTGCCAAGACCCTGCCCATTGGTGGTTAAGGGACACCAACGAGGATGCCAATGAGGAGGCCAACAAGGAGGCCAACGAGGAGGCCAACAACGAGGATGCTGTAGTGGCTGAAGTTGTTCATGACCCCGAGCATGTTGGAGAGGATTTAGCTGATGATGAGACTGATCCGGAGCCGGATGTCGTGATTTGACAATTGTAACATGCTGGCCTTTTAAGCACCTCATCGACTACTCACAACACGAAACAACAGTATGTAACACMAGAAGATCATAACCCAACTCTGTACGAACCATCACTAAATCAGCTCTATACTAAAAATTTCCACCAATACTTGTGTTGTCGTTGTACTGTTTTTTTAGCGTTGTTCTCTTCTGAGCTTTTGTTCAAAAAATTGTTGCCATTCAGCCCGTCTCTTGACAACCAACCACTCCGTCGGTTCCTCATCTCTGTTTTCACTTAAGTTAGGGACTACTGCAAGTTCTGATACAATTGTCTCTGTGTCATACAGTTCAAACCTCGAACCATCCAGTTGTCCTCTGTGAACGAAGTTTGAAACTGTTTTTTTTGGTTCCTCCTTGAACGAACGCACAACAGCATAGACCCCACCACCGGAACCCACCACACCACCCGCAGGTGTTTTGTCTCC